GCGTAACTGTTCCTTACGCCTATTAGCTCTCTGTTGTCGGGCATCCAAAAACAACTCCCTTGTCTCCTCCCCACTGCTCCAATGCATGATGTCACGATCATACTCCCTTGACTCCTCCCCACTGGTCCAAGGCTCAGGCGCCTCCTGGTGGCCAACCAGCCTCTCTGCATCCTGTCCATAGTCCTCCACATCCTCCAGAGCCGACTCATAGGGCCCCTCGCTGTCGGAGTCTGGTGGCAGCTCCGATGGCTCCTGCTGGGCCACAACATAGGGTCACCTGCTTGAGCAGGGGGCTGGACTAGAAGAATTCCAAGGTCCCTTTCAGCCCTATTCTGATTGATTGACTGATTGGTGACATATCCATTGCTTAGGACAGAGTTGCTGAACTCTCAACTTTAAGACTTGTGGACTTCAATTCCAAAAGTTCCCCAGACAGTCATGCTGGCTGGGGATTTCTGGAACTTGAGGTCCACAAGTCTTAAAGTTGCCAAATTTGGACACCCCTGCTGTAGAAGCTTTAGGCAACAGAACATAAAATTAGTCTCTGTTTAAATACTAATCCATCTCTGATGTTGGAAACTTTCACAAGTTAGTCTTTTTTCCTTTTCTTGGTGCCCTGCAGATAGTGGCGGGCATGACGGCATTTGTGCACCAGCCCACTGCTGTGGCTTCTCCATTAACTTATTTTGCTCCATAACTTTGCTTGTTCGGAGATCAGAAAAGGTGAACACAAGACCCCAGGACACATCAGCTGTCATAAATATGACTCAGTTGCCAAACATCTGAATTTTGCTCACATGACCATGGGGTGCTGCAAAGTGTTAAATATTCATTAGTTGGATTTAAGTATGCATTACATTCAAGCCAGCAACAGCCTCTTGCGTCCTGATTGGCTGGGACGCAGCAGAGGCTGTTGCTGGCCACAGTTACTTACTGATTGGCCGAGGCACTGACGTCAGCGGTTGCTGCCCAATCCTCGGCCGCTGATTGGTTAACATAGTTATACAAATACCTTTGGCGCGCGGTTCCCCCTTGGAATCGCTGTCACCTTCTTCTAATGTTAATAAAGCTGTTGTTGTTCGGAACCCTGGCTATCGCGTCCTCCTTCCTCCAGAATACAAAACAAAGGTCGTGTGAAAAAAGGGCCATGTTACTTTTTTTTAGTGCCATTATAACTTCAAAAAGTCACTAAAACAACGGTTGTTCTGTTAGCTTCTGGGTGCATGCAAATATTCTGGGTGATTCCAGTATGTATTTCCATCTATTTTTATTTATAGGAGACAATCCAACTTTTTGAACATTATCCCACGTCATTAAAGATAAAGTCTCTTTGGACTTCAGCTTTCCTTCATATATTCTCCTAGAAGATTTCTAAAGGCTATGCTCTTCAATCTCCTCTCACGGAATAAGGTGAGTCATGTGCTTTTCTGGACCAATGCTTTGAATGAATTAATTTACAGACAATTCATCTGAATGTCAACTTTGAACCAGCTGCCTGGAACTGAAGGTAGGCCCAAGATTTATGCACAGCTGTATTCAAATCAAGACATTTGCTCAAGGTAGCTTTACAATCACAATCTAACAAAGTAAGCTCCAAAAAGCAGTTATTTTTTCAAAAACAACAGTGATCATTTAAAAACCTTTTTCAAGAACAAAATGTATAAAGAACAGCAATAACATTAACTTCCATTGCAATGTACCCTGTTTCCCCCCAAAATAAGCCCTGCCTTGATAATAAGCCTAATCGGGCTTTTGAGCGCATGCACTAAAATAACCCCTCCCCCCAAAATAAGCCCTCCCTGAAAATATTGCAACCATGAGGTGACCACGCTCGCCATCTCCTGTACCTTAAAAATAATAAGACCTCCCTGAAAATAAGGCCACCATGAGGTGACCACGCTCGCCATCTCCTGTACCTTAAAAATAATAAGACCTCCCTGAAAATAAGGCCACCATGAGGTGACCACGCTCG